TATTTCATGGAAAAGTTTTGTGCATAGCCTCTTCATCTCCCTTTAAAGTCGGGAGTGAGATTTCTTTCTTTTTCTACTGATCAGTGTGCTTTCCCAAGTAATTTACTACTAAATAAAAGGGGAGGAAGACGTACTTTTGAATATCGTAAGTGGTTGCCAGAGTACCATGTTGAGAACTTTGTCTGGTGCTTCCACATAATGCTGAGTCGTTAATCGATCGTAAAGAAGATTGAGTGTGGAAACCTCAGGCCTTTTATTAGCCTGTGCTACTGTTTTGAATTTATCAGTGTTTAGCTACTTGCTTTGCACTCCTGTTTGTAATTTATCAGCACCGTAGGGGCAGTAGTAACCTTTGCCTGCGGTCGTGCTCTTAAAAGGCAATCTTTCCTGATTTCCCCGTAACTAAAAATCTTACCATTGCTGTTTTAACCTTGATGGCGATTTTTATTGTCGTTATTAGATGATATGGAATCATATCTGAACTGGAGTCGTGACCTCAGAGATTGATCAGGGAGTGCTTGAGTAGACTTAGAAATCAGATATCCGGCGCTGGTGAGAAACCAAGTAGACCGTGTTAGGGGATTTTGAAAACTCAGGATGGTGGTGTATGAGGAAACAGTTTTAATCCCTGTTGAAATACGGTGGGATAGCTGTGACTGGGAGAGGATTGTTTTGTCTCCCGAGGCTGTTTGGCCTGTCAGCACGAGGATTTCGTGAGACTAAAGCAGGTGAAATAAAGACTCAGTTTACAGTGAGAATGAGCATCTTGTTTATTCCTTCTTTTGTCTTCGTGAGATTATCTTGTGGTGTTCTTTAAAATTGCTCTGTGTAGAAGTTAAAATTTGTTTCTTGTTTTGGAAACACATGTCTTGCTGGGTCTTTTAACTGAGAAATTCACTGTATTTTTGACTATTTACTTCTATTTCAAAATTCCTGCTAGCATCAGCTGGAAAGTAAAGCCAAACCTTGGTGCGAAGCCAGCGCTGATAGCCAGAATGTGTGTGGGTTTTTGGTTTGTTTTGTTTCTTTTTCTCTTAGTGTCTCTGAAACCCTTTTTTGGAGGGGTGTGAAATCCACTCCCTGTGGAGTGAATAATGCCTACATGCTATGAAACACCTTTTGGAGACTTTGGCAGTGTATCTGTATTACTAGCTTAATAAACTCTAAAATATAGACCAGCACATTTGGAAGCAGGGGTGTGTATAAGGGCACGTGGCTGGGATGAAATGGAAACAGGCCAAGTTGCTCGAGCTGAGTGATTCTCCCCCAGCAGTGCTAAAAGGACTTGAATGGGAGAGCTGAAATATCGGCTGGTGTCTGGTGGTTTCAGCCAAGAAGCTTGTGGGGGCTGCCAGGTGGGATGATTTAAAAGCAAATAATTATTTAAATTGGAAAACGAAAAAAGTGACTCCAGGAGAAAATCAGAATTACAGAGCAGTCGAGTGGGAATAGGAATTGAGACTAGCGTTGGTAAGCGCCTCCATTCATACGAGGTGCTAAAGCAGTGTCAGTATAGCTCTTTGAAAGAAAAACTTCTCTCTTGAAGCTCTTGGGAAGGATCGGCAAACATACAAATGGATCTGGAAGAAAGTCACCATTTCCAAACATCCTTCAACAGGTTTCCTTATCGAAAGAAATAAAACAGCCCAGGGATAAGGGGAAAGGCCCTTACACGGGTAGGAAAATGAATTAAAATACAAGAGGTGGAGGGTAGGAGTTGCTAACTGATTTTTCCTAGCAGAGGCAGGGCACCAGTGGAGATACAAGTGCAAGGATCTGCTCAGCATGTGGCAAATGACCGGGGAAAAAGAGGTGAGAAGTGAAGTGGCATTGCAAATGCAGCACTTTTATTCAAGGTAAATAAGATAAATTGTTTCTTCTAGGAGGATTGTGAAAGGACCTTGTGAGTTTAACTGGGCTTGAAAACTGCAGATCTGTGAAGTAATCCATATGATAAAAATGATTTTCTTATCATCTGTTGGGTAGAATCTGGGATCATTTCCTGCTCAGGAGTTGTTTGAGGTCATTACAGCTGTCTGGAAGGATCTCGAACTTCTGTAAGTGAACTAGAAAAGGTGTTTGATGGCGTGAATTAGGAAAACAGCATCACGGGCGCAGAGTGGATTTACAATGTGGCTTCCTGTCTTGTGTTGGGCATTTTGAATACTCTGATCTAAAAGGATATAGTTGGCTTGGAAAAACTGTGACTAAGGTAGCATTTCTCAGCTTGGAAAGGACATTATGGCAAAGGTGTAAGTAGAAAGGATTAAACGGTGCGTAGCGGCTACAAATATAAAAAATGAAGAGCAGTGTGTGAAGCTGTGCAAGTCCTTGCCACAGATGTTGTGCATGCTAGGAATGTACATGGATTTAAGGAGAGATTCATGGAGAGGTCCTACATGACACAGCAGCCACATCTGGCCCAGGAGATCTCTGAGCTGGAAACTGAAGGGAGTGAAAGGAAAAGTCTTTGGTGAAAGACTTCTATAGGCATGTGGGTTTTGCTGCTATTCCTATTTTAGGAGGAATGTGAATGTGTCCTAAAACCTACAAGTTCTTACCTGAAGGTGTGTGTGGAAAGGGAGGATATGAATGGAGCAGTCAAATGAGTAAGAGGAGGGGACAAAGAATGGAGGGGGAAAGGAAGAGAAAAGGGGTCGAAGGATCCAAAAGCTTTATGATTTTAAAATAAGGGAAGGATTCATGAAGAACAAGGGGAGGAATGTAGGCAGAACCACTGACTTTGGAGGAGCTGGACAAGGGACTGCAGTGAATGTACACCTCTTGGTGCAGCACAGGCATGGGTGGAAAAAAGATAACAACCTCCACACAGAACCTTTCTGTGGTTTTAATGCTGCTTTTGAACAGGAAACAGGCAGGCTTCTGATTTTTTTTATTTTACATGATGTTTTGTCTCGGAGGAGAAGATGCATGTGTATGTGCATGTGTCTGAGGAGCATAGTCAGAAGCTTACCAGGGAGCAGGGCAGTGCAAGGTGTGTTTCAGATGGCAAAAACACCACGGGTGTGTCGAGCTGGTGGTACAGAGCACACCCCGTGCCCCTACTCAATCCCTCCTCACCTGAGCAAAGTCCGACTCTGACAGGCAAGTCCCCCCGTTAACCATTTTGCAGTCGCTTCAGAATTTGGGTTGGAGCGGAGGAAACGCCTCCTTTTCAGGCCAATCAAGATGTGTCTTAGCTGTGGGTGGACTTTACCAGCAGCTGGAGTGTTGCCAGACATCACCTCTTGTCTCAGGGAAGCTAAACGTGTATTTACACGTGCTGGATCAAGTGACCTGGGCTCCTGGGTGCCACTTGGAGATGGTCCCAGAAAGCCATCAGCCTTCTCGGGAGCGAGGGGTGGATTTTCATCTTGGCTGCTGTTCCCTCATGCAGCAAGCCAGCTCTTATCTTCCCTTTGGGTTTACAGCGTGCAGTCTTCTGTTGCACAAACTGTCTTCATTTTAGGCTTTGTTCGTGGTATGAATCAATGGCTTAACTTGCTGGGCTGTGTGTTGGGGGAGATGACTTCTTCTTTTTTGAATAGTTGGTGTTCTTGAGAATCAGTAATAGCTAACAGTCCTGCTTGTAATATGGGCTAATAAATTGCAGAGGGACAACTGTTTTCCTCCAATGACTGGATTGCTGTCTTCAGACTAAACTTTGGTAAATGCTGATGTACCTTCCAAATAGCTGAACCGGAAAAAAACCTCCAAAACCCAAACCAACAAACCTGCAGTATTTTCCTATCAAATTACAGGTCTTGTTCTGGCACGATACGCAGCCGAAAGCATCGGTGTTCATAGAGGTAGGCAAGAAGTGCCCCTTGAAATCCCACGTGTGTGGTGATGTGCCGGGGCGGAAGCAGTTTGTGTGTTAAATGGGTGATCTGTTTGCCTGTGCAGGCCACCACGTGGCTGTAGTTAGGGCAGAGGGAAGTAGGGGTTTACTCTGGCTTCTTCATGTGCCAGTCAGTCTGTACTCGGGCTTAATTTTCATCTTGAAGCTGCGTTGTCACTTAGCCTCTATTACAGCAGTTGGAAAAGTTTTTTGATCCTCCAATCTAGCAAAACTTTTGTCGAAAACTTTCAAGCTTTCCAGGCCTAAAATTGCGATAATGTGGGGGCTTCTCTTAGCTGCACCTTGGATGAATTTAGGCAGAAGCTTCTCAAAAATGCTTTAAAAAATTCTCAGTCACTTTGAAGTATTTCGAATAAAGAAAAGGGTATGCTTTAATAATAAATCACAGAATCACAGACCGTCAGGGATTGGAAGGGACCTCCAAAGCTCATCCAGTCCAATCCCCCTGCCGGAGCAGGAACACCCAGATGAGGTTACACAGGAAGGCATCCAGGCGGGTTTTGAATGTCTGCAGAGAAGGAGACTCCACAACCTCTCTGGGCAGCCTGGGCCAGGGCTCTGTCACCCTCACTGAGAAGAAGTTTCTTCTCCAATTTCAGTGGAACCTCCTGTGTTCCAGTTTGTGTCCGTTACCCCTTGTCCTATCATTGTTTGTCACCGAGAAGAGCCTGGCTCCATCCTCGTGACACTCACCCTTTAAATATTTATAAACATGAATGAGGTCTCCCCTCAGTCTCCTCTTCTGCAAACTAAAGAGACCCAGCTCCCTCAGCCGCTCCTCATCAGGGAGATGCTCCACTCCCTTGATCATCTTTGTAGCCCTACGCTGGACTCTCTCCAGCAGTTCCTGTTCTTCTTGAACTGAGGGGCCCAGAACTGAACACAATATTCCAGATGCGGTCTCACCAGGGCAGAGTAGAACAAAATTTAGGAACAAAATTTAGGAAGCTTGGATGCTGTAAAAAAAATGTCCATAATATACTGAAATTCTCGAGCAGGTTTTTATCAGGCATTGGAGCAAACCAAGTTCAAAGTCTACTTCTTCAAGCCTTTGTTGACGACAGCTGTGCAATGTGTTGGTGTGTTTGTTTTAAAACACGGGCTTATCCTTTGTGCTTTCTTGTTCTTTTTTTTTTAGTTCAAAACCCATTTCTTCACCTTTGATTGTACAAGTTGGACATGCAGAGACACTTCAGCCGCTGCTCGCCCTCATGGGTTTTTTCAAAGATGAGGAACCGCTCAAGGCAAACAATTACGTCAGGCAAACGCATCGCAAGTTCCGCAGTGGCCGCATTGTGCCTTACGCAGCCAACCTGGTGTTTGTGCTGTACCACTGCGATCAGGTGAAAACCTCTAGAGAGGAGTATCAAGTGCAGATGCTGTTGAATGAAAAACCGATGTCATTTCATCACTCGAATGAAACCGTCTCTACTTACGCCGACCTCAAAGACTATTACAAGGACATCCTGGAAAACTGCCACTTCAGAGAAGAGTGCGCGTTACCAAAACTTAATGCTACTGCTACTGATGAGCTCTGAGAGAACGGAACGGAGTGGGTGTTCTGCAAATTGACCTCGGGTCTGTTCGACAGGCATTGCGAACAAGCACTTCTGATGATTTGCTGCTGCTGTGTTGACTTTCTAAACCTGCAGATTTGAGGGGCTGCCTCAGCTAGCTCAGTGCACTGTTTATTTATTACACAAGCAGAATTACAAAAACAAATGCTGCGACAGGGATGTTGCTGGGCATTTGTAACCAATACGTGATGCAGGATGAAGCGTGTCTGTATGTTTGTATGTCCGACTAAGTAATTTCATTGGTCATTTCTCCTATGAATGTGCCATAGCTGGATTTAAGAGCTGAGGCAACTTCTATTTTATCAGGACTGAAGGTGGTTGGACTGATTCAGTATTGCTTTGTGCTGCCTGTTTTGCTAGCTACTGTTCTCCCGTGGCAGGCATGAATTCAAACCGGTGAGCTTTTTCATTTCTTTTCCTGATCCTCTAGGAAGGAGAGGGTACATAGTCCTCTACAGCTGCCAAACTTCTGCCTGGACAGCACCATGCAAACATCTCCTCCTTGGGCATTTAAAAGCAGGAGGAGTTGCAGTGTTTCAGTATGCGTTACTGCCTGAAAAGGGTCCAGGAGCTAAAAATTCTTAGTCATCATTTACCCATCCCACATAGCAAGTTAGCTCCAGGGTAGGTGAATTATCTTTTAAAAGAAGTTTTTTTAAAAAAAAAAAGTGAGGAAGTGGGAATTAGCCACTCTTCCTTAAGGTGCTCTGGGAGATGCAGCAGTTGTTCTCTTGTCCTTAAACTTGGCACCATCCATTTCTTGTGTTTAAAAGGTTTGGGTTTGGGCATTCAGGTTGGGTTCTGCTACAGCTCTGAGCGTCTTTCCAGTTCAGGTGCTGACAGTTTTCCTCACAGCTCTGGTTGGAAGGGACCTCTGGAGGTCTACAGTCCCGCCTGCTGCTTGAAAAGGGTTTCTTTCTAACCCTAAATCCAGGCAGGTTTTGGACTGCAAAAAGTATCTGGCTGAGACTTGACTTCTGCCACCTTTAAGGCACCGAATGTGGTGTCACGTAGGCCTTATACATTTGATGTGCCACCTTGTTCTTGAAATGAAGCTGGGTTTAAAGAAGTTAATTGCATTACAAGTACTGGTGATCTTTTAAAGCAACTGCATTTAAATTAGGTTCACTTCCTACTGAAAGTTGGAAAGCATTTTCTTCAGTGTGGCAGACAAAGGAAAAATGAAGATGATTGTCCAGGAATCTCTGAAATGCAGTAAATCAGATAAAAGTTCCTTCATTGCCCAGAAGGGAATGGCTGCGTGAACAAGTTGCCCCAAAGCAAATGAGGGTGTGGATTTATGGTGCTGGTAGCTCTTGAAGTGCATACTCACACCCTATAATGAGTGTTCCAGAGCTCACCCTGTGCAGTGAGGCGCAGTTTACTGGGGAGGGGGTGAAAGGTTGGTGTGAGCGATTACCACAGGGTACTGGGTGCACTATAAACATTTTATACCCTCATTTGCTGCAGGGTACTTTCTTTTTGTAGCCTCACAAAGTTAAACTTGGTGTCTAATTTTTTTATTTTACTTGAGGAGTTAGGCTTCTGTCACTTCTTTTTAATGCAGCTTGTATAAAAGCACTTTAGGTTTACATATGAGTAAGTTAAGGAGCAACTGAAAACCTGATTTTTACCGTTGTACTCTGAGTTAAGGACTCTTCCCTGCTGGGAAGTAGGGCCCTGTTTCATTAGTGCACTGATTTCTGTGGAGTCCAAGGTTCTGATGGCTGAAGATACCAATTAAAACTGGGGGCTATTTCAGCATTAACATCCTGCTAAAATACTTGCCTCTGTGTTAGCTCTGCAGATGTTTTTCTGAAACCAGTGAAATGGTTAGGGAGGATATCACTGCTGAAACCAATGTAGGAATATAGTTCAGGATAATTGTCAGCACCAGCGTATGACTTTTCTTGCTGTATCAGCTTTGCATGTCTCGTTTTTACGTGATCCTACCTTGAGACTAAGTCAACTTTCCGTAGTTGCTGTGGCAGATGCCTGTTACGAACTTTATTGCGACACCTGAGGCGAGCTACAAAGAAATGAACCTTTGTTTAAAGGTTAGTTTGGTAAATAGCAGATGCAAGGGTAAGAAAATCCACCTTCTGAACAAATATTTTTTTCTGTGAGTCAGTCATCCTGCGATGATTCATGAGGTGAACAGAAGGGATGAAAGCCCGGCTGTTGCAGATGAATGTTTGTCAGTTCAGCGAGACTGACTCGAAGACATCATGTTTGTTAAAAGATACGTCCTTCTTCCTCATGGCGGCAGAATACATTGCACTCAACTGCTTTTTTGATCTTGTGCCAGATGAGGTGGAGGAAACAGAAAAATCCCTTCTACCACGAAGCATCAATTGCATCTGCATTACCATGGATGCTTAAATCCTGAGCAAAGGGCTTCAAGGATGACTCTGCAGAGGCTGACTCCTGTATTACCCTGGAGTAGAGGTCCATCTTACCGCCAGCAGAACAGCTGTGTCTTCAGTGGCCGTCAGCAGTTAACTGAAAAGGAAAATGCGCTGCTGGGTTTCTGATCTGTATTTAAAGGATGCGCTGACTCACTCCTTTGGCAGAATTAGAGGCTGAGTGTGGAAACTTTGCACAGTCACAGCAGTAGAAGTGTTTGGACATGAGTATGTTCTAGGCACTTCTTCATGTGACTGATTCTTGCCTTTAGGGACGTGACTTCACTATGACCCTTTTTTTATTTGGTAACTATAGAAATAAATCTATATACTAAAAAGGAAAACCAGAATGGATCAAAATATTTCCATAAAGTCAGACACTAGCTCAGTGTTTGAACAGGCTGCCATAGCTCGTGGCACTGCAGGTTCCCACATCCTGAAAAAGTCCTGCAAGAAAAATCATGCTTTCTCTTCCTTCACTTGGCTCTGTACAAAACACATCTCAGTCGTCCCTTGATGACTTGGTTTGTAACCTTTCTCAAGCTGGAAGCTTTCATTGATGAAAAATACCAACAGTATTCTTGGGTGCTGACCTTAAATATGTTTGAAATGTATTTTATTTTGTTAAGTCCTAAAGCTTAACTAATCTTTCTGCCAAGTATTTTTTTTCTACTTAGTAAGTACTGCTGCTGTAATTCTGGTCAGCATTGAGCTGCCAAATCGCGGGAGGCAGTACAAATCTGTACTAATGTGTTACTAACTGGATGAATTTTGAGAACTTGTTATAGATTTTTAGTGCTGTGAAATAAAACTGAAACAAAACTGTTTTCATCTCTTATTTTCTGAGCAGTCGTAATGACATGATCCTTAGCATCATGGCTGTGTTCTCTTTCGAAGTACATTTGGTAGGTTGCTATTACTTGCACCGGTGTCTCTGATTATTTCGAGATGCTTGGTGATTCATATAAAATGACTTCATTTGGTTTTTACTCTCACGTTTTGAGGTGAGTGACAATTGTCGTAATGGCATGATCCTTAGCATCATGGCTGTGTTCCCTTTCAAAGTAGGTTGCTATGACTTGCACCAGTGTCTCTGATTATTTCAGGATGCTTGGTGATTCATATAAAATGACTTCATTTGGTTTTTACTCTCACGTTTTGAGGTGAGTGACAATTGACTTTTGTTTCCAGGAGTCCTGGTTTTGATCACAGTGATGTTCTTCTCACAAGGTTTTTGCAGACAGTACTTTCATCTGCAAATGTCCTGCATTTTGAAGTGCAGTGAGAGTCACAAACACATTTTTATGCAGTCCAGAATCTACCACATTATTATTTCTCTAACCATTATGACTCTCTCAGATTGGCACTGTTGGTTTGATGAAGAATTGGAAACGGACACCACGCAATAGTTACTAACCTGTCATTTCTTTTAGGTGTTTAACAAGAGAGCCTTGTTACCGAGTGTCTGTTAGCCACTTGGTTTAATTCACCGATTACCTGTACATAAAAATTGAGTCTTGTCTGCAACATGCTGAGGACGCAGCACTTTTGTAAGTGTGCTGTGACTGGTGCCTCATCTTTGGTGAAGGGCAGTTTCTTTGTTTGCAGAAGGATTAGTCTGGAAGACAGCTTGAAATGGAAAAAAGGCGACGCTGTTTTGTTTAAAACAAAGAAACAAAACCTCCAAACTGTACGGTCGCAGGAAAAAGAGTGAAATGTCTCTAAGATACCAAACCCATGTAAAACCTGCAAGGGGAAGAACATGACCCCCACCATCCCTGCCCCGTTCCTCTCATTAAATGGTCACTTCAAAGAGAAGGTGGTATTACTGTATGTTAGTTTGCAGTTGCTGGTGTTGCAGAAATGATGGTTTATCTTTGAATTTTTAAATCCTGGCTTTCCTGGGCTTTCTGTTCTAGACTATTTCTCCTGATTGCCAGAGTTGTTTCAAACCTCAGGACTGACTTTATTCTCACATACTGGCCCACCAAAGTGTGCCGGGAGCAGCTGAGCCAGGGCGAGCTCGTAACTTCAAGATTTCAGGGGGACTTTTCCCTCCACCGCCACCCTTCCTCCTCCTGTGAACTCGTTGTCGTGAGGCCAGCCGTGCTTTCATCACCTACGTTGTCGTGATGAGGCCACTCTGTGCATGGTGTAGCGGGTTTCTTTGCTTAAAAAGTGCCGTCTGTTTGTTGTGTTGCTCTGACCGACGGGTGCACGGGTGCATTTTGTCTTTCGTGTGCTGTCACTTTCGAACTCATCTTCATCATCAAGACTCGGCAACTCCTGTGTATCCAACTCAGCTTTTCAGTGCTGTTTTTCTGCCTGATTTCTCAGGATTTGTGGTCCGGTGAGTATAAACCTATTTCTAAATTGTTTTGTTTCTGATGTTAAGTTTTTTTGAAGAGGGTTTCCGTTGACTGTGAAATATATGCCAGGTCAGAGCTAGGTTCTGCTTCCAGATCTGATACAGGTAGATGTTTGTAAAGGCCATACAGCTCTTTTCCCCTCCCTTGTTTGCTTCCAGAAGTGGAAAATTATATATAGATTAACCTG